TGGAAGCACTCACATAAATCGGAGAGTACACGAAGTCTAAGGGCAATAGAGAGGCCAAGAACCTGCACAAGGAAAGAAAGAAGAGAAAAAAACAACAAAAGGATAACTCCTCCATGGCTACTATACAACAATAAATTAAATATATGCAACACACACAGTCCTCTTATACAGCAAAGCTGAATGTATATAAGCTCTATACACGTACAGGAATATATATATATATATATATATATATATATATATATATATAGCCTACCTGATTCTCTAGGACTTGATTTCTGATTCTGAGATCATTTAAAGTCTTGCATGTATTCTCTGGTGTAAGTTTTGTTTCTTTTTTTTTAATATTCTTGCTAGGCGCGCTGCCTATCTTTGATCCTTTAAGGGGTACATACACCGGAGCTTGTGCGTCGGCTGGTGGAGGACGATGAACTAAGGAATTCTCACTTATATGTTCTTGGGAAGGCTCCATCCAACGCACTCTCGCTTCCTCTGATGAGCAATAAAACAATAAAGAAATAAGCAAACAAAAATATAGATACATAGATAAATAATATACTTGTACTCAAGAAAAGTGACTTAGCAAGTAGAAAAATCCATCTATATAATGCACGTATGCATATATATTGAATATTTAGCTGTACTGTTGCACTGTACATAAGGCTGTTTATAGTTACCTGGGAACATGAATAGAGGGGCGTTCGTAAAATCCATTCGCCCCCCAGTTTGTCTGAATTCGCCGCGTATATGCCGCTGCAAGGGGGCCAATGGTATTGCCTTTGTCTCATGACACCGACACCAGGAGAGGCCCCCCGTGATCATTGGCCATATGGGGGGCCCATGATGGCCAAATATTTCCTCCGGGGGGACGCAGATGTTGTTTTCTGCTGCATATACCTGCAGCTCCTGTTGCAGATCCAGCTGCTCTTGCTGCTGCTGCTCCTCCTGCAGATGGTCTAGCTGTATGTCCTCATGGTGCAGCTCTGGTGACGGCTCTTCTTGCTGCTGTTGCAGCTGCTGCTGGTGCTCTCTCTCAGGCTGCTGCTGCACTTGCGTGACGTCCTTCTCCTTTAACGCTGTTCCTTGCCGCCCTCTATCGGAGGCGGAAATAATAGAATCTGCAAAACTAGCGTGAGACGGAGAAATGCTTGCTGCCCCTGCTCCTGAAGAACCATTCTGTTCCTGTTGCTGCTGTGGCTGTTGTGGCTGTATCTGCTGCTGCTGTTGGGGCTGCTGCTGCTGAAGCTGTTGTTGCTGTTGTTGGGGCTGCTGTTGCTGCTGCTGTTGTGGCTGAGTCTGCTGCTGCTGTTGGAACTGCTGTTGCTGTTGGGGCATCTGCTCCTGTTGCTGTTGCGGCTGTATCTGCTGTTCCTGTTGGAACAGCTGCTCCCGTTGCTGTTGCGGCAGTACCGGCTCCTGCTGTTGCGGCTGTATCTGCTGCTGCTGTTGGGGCTGTATCTGCTGCCGTTGTGGTGGCTGTATCTCCTGCTGCGGTTGCGACTGTATCTGCTGCTGCTGTTGGGGCCCCTGTTGCAATTGCGGCTGCTGCTGTAGCTGCTGAACTTCAGACACGGAAGAAGCTGTCTTACCAGTCGACTCGAGCGGAGGGCGCTCCCCCTCTCGTGTCTCAGCAACTGCAGCAAGAACATTCATACCGTGTTCCCCATATTCATCTCCTCCGCCTCCGTCCCATCCCCGGTAACTAACATAAAGAAATTAAATCGTTTATAGGTAGGGGTGGGGGAAAGCAGCTGCCGAGGGTAATCCAGCTCTAATCATTTTCTCATATTGGGTGCTGCAGGCAGACAACCTCTTGGGGGTTGCAATCCACTCACTTTGCGCACGAGGTGTCACTAAGGAAGGCGGGGTCTAGTGAAGGAAACTTTTTCTACGGCTAGCCAATCTATTTTGTGATTGACTGAAACTGCCGCTGCAGCTTTCAGTGTGCTTGTTTGCTTCGTCGCAAGTATAAGTTTGCTGTAGTCTTACCCGCTGCTGTCGTTAATACTTCAGAGTCGTTGCTTTGCGGTGGGTTGACAACAGGGAAAGCAGCGGAGGTGGCAACTGCCTGGGGCTCTGAAGAGACAGGAGGCGGACTGTACGCTGCTGTTTCTGCATGCAAACTCGCTGCTGCAGTTGTCTCTAGAGGCTCTTGGGGAGAGGCAAGAACCTCCTGCGTGTTTTCATTTGGGTTGACAAGGGTAGAGGAAGCACTTGAGCTGCCTGGAGGGGGATCAGAGCACAGGAGGGGTTCATCGGCAAATGATATTTGCTGCCTTCCTTGTGTCTTGGCAACTCCTGACTTGCGGAGTTTAACAGCTGATTCTTCTCTTGAAAGAGAAAGCTGCAAAGTATTCTCTTCTGCCTGAGAGCAAGGAACAAGCGGGGGTAGGTCCTCCGCTGTGTGAATGCTTGCATCCTCTGGCAGCTCCGCCGACATGAGTTGCGCCTGCACAAACGTTTGCTGCTCGGGTGCCTCTTGCAACGTGGCCGTCTCCTCCGTCACAGAGGGCCTGTTGACGGTCCCTGAAGCACCTTCAGGGAAAGCAGCTTCACGCGGGCTTGGGCAGGCGGCGGCAACGTCATGACATTTTGCACTGCCTATACCTTCGGACGGTCTCTCTAATACCAACCGACGGTGTGGCGAGAGCGGCGCAGACAGCCGAATGCTGCGAGCGCTTCCGAGTTGTTCTGCTCTTTCGGGATGAGCTCGGTAAATGGGACTGAGATGCAGAGTTGTTAGGGGCACGTGTTCGTACACATTGCCCTGCTGCCCCCCCCGAAAGCCCTCTGATGTTCCTACGCAAGAGTTGCACAACGAAACACCCCGTCGACCATCCACTGCCTGCAGCAAAGGCGCATCGCATCGTGGCACTGATCCTGCATGCTGTTTCCCCAGCTTTTGTGTCCTTCTTGAAGCGCATGCTTGTGATTTTCTCTAGGCATTGGTCAGCGTCTGCGCCAATTGTCGTATTTTTACAACTCGCTCTGTCTGAACAGCAACGCTGACTGTGTAAGAGCTGAAATGCGCTACTTTTTCGGAGGGGATAGCTATGCGGTTTCGACTACTAGTACACGACAATGATGCGGGAAATCTAGCGTCTCTCTGATGACAGACATTGGGGCTGCCACCATTACTCTGAAGGAGGGAAATCAGGTTGCGTATTTCCTCGAGGCAAGTGCCAATAAGGTTGCGATCTGAGGCTGTCAGCTGCTGATTTGTAACAATTGTTCCGTGGGACACTTCTGGCGATGCAAGAAGTGGAGGAGCCACTGGCACCGATTCCGGTATATTGAAAGCGGGGTCTATGGGATCTGTTTGTATTTCTTTTTCAGTCGTCTCTGCAGATGAAGCCGCAGTGACCCCCGTTGCCTGTTCAGCCAGCTCAAGGGCAACTTCGTCCCTCACTTCTGAACGGAGCTGTTCTAAGAATTCTTTGTTCTCCTTGGGGAATTTCTCTTCTTCTTTCTTGGCCTGTCACTCGGCAGGAATCGCATAGTTGGCTTAAGGGGATGGGCGTGGTAGGGGGCTTTGCCTGTTGCCTACTGAAGTGCAGCTACAGGTTGGGGGTCGTCTAACATACAAACTCCCTGCTTTTTTCCGCTGCCGTCAGCGCATCTTCTTTGACATTTTCCACTTTGTCGAGGAACTCATTGGCCTGAGAAAGGCTTGCTTCCAACTCGCGCACTTTCTGTGCCTGGCTTTCAACGATATCCGTCTGTACGCCCCAAGGGAAAGAGAACTACACGGTTCACTCACCCCTGGACTCCACAGGCTCTTCAACGACCATTTTCAAGGCTTAAGGTACTTCATCGGTTGTGTAAGAGGATTCGTCAACTTGTGGAGTGCATTAGGGTACCTTCAGCCTTTTGCATGTGCCTGGCAAGACTTTGTGAGTCGCTGTGCATGTTAGCAGACGAACACGATGAGAACGTAATGGCTTTTAACACACTTTCCAAGGATTTAGGCTGCTTGACTCCCACGTAGAAAAGTAACTCAAACAAGTGGTAGCATCAATGGCAAATTAGGGCACCTACGGCATAGTACATGCAACCTGTCGTGACTTTCATGCTCCAAGCTGGAGACCCACAAGTTCTTTAATCCTTTGTGTTGCCTGTTTAACTTTCTCCAGCAATTCTAGGGATGAAATTGGCCCCTCTCCCTGGGTGATTTCGTCCACCAAGGCGGCTTCAAAATTGGCTTGGTTGTACTCGACAATGAAAGCAATGTGCTTTCTGACGATTGGAAAAACGTTCTTGCAGACCGCTTTTCCAGCGTCTTCTGCTGATACACCCAACTCTTCGAGTGCGCTTTCGTTGACGATCGCCCGCATCATTTCCGTTACCCAGTCGACCGTCCCTCCAGCGCGGGACCCGCGAAAGCTTTTGCGGGCCATCTTCCTGTATTAGTGCCTAACCTGTATTTTATTTAAATACACTACTGGCGTTCCATGTTTTTCTGACTAAAGGAAGACAATTAAGGGGTTTTATTCCGAATGTTGACGATTTCATGTCAGCAAGGCCATGTACGCCCACTGTTTATTGGTTCTGTCTACATTGGATGCCTTCAGGTTGCAAAGCAAAAGATTTTTTGGAAATTTCCCTTGTTCTTTGCGCGACATAGTACACTACAATGGCGGCCTCATCTCGTAAACGTTGAGAACTTGCGGAGGAGTTAAGCAGCCACTGCGGAGGATGCAGTGTTGCAGATTGACACTGCTGTGTTGAAAGCCAAGGGTTCCGCACACCAGCGCCTTTTCCTCAACCTGAAACGAACCAGTAGTCTAAACAAAACTTCGCTCGAAGATGCTGAGCAAAGAGGAAGTTTCTTGCAGCCACGAGAAATGCTTGCTTGCATGCGGCGCATTGAGGTCACCCCGCGCCAAGGCATGAACAGGCTTCCTGTAGAGCTATCTGTCCTTCTATATCTTATAAACCAGTTGATGGCCTCCAAAAAATACACAAAGTATCGTAAAAAGACACCAAATTCGTTATTTAGCGTTTCCCGCTCCTGCTGGTGCGCCGTCCCGCCGCGAGCAGCAGCCACTGCGGGGGCTCACCTAACGCAATATTTGCTCTGTTTGCTCGCTTGTCTACATTTTGCAAAATTGAAAATTGTTTTGATTTAAGGCAAATTCAGAAAGAATGGTCCCCCAATGTCTCCAATATGCATGGCGCTCACTCATTTTCCTCTCCTCGAAGCGGGTACAGATGATCTCGCCAAGGTCACCTCGACTGTAGATGAAAAATATGCTATTGAACAAGGTTGAGAGGGAAGGGTTGGTCTTAATGAGTCCAAGCAATTAACTTGGTAGCAAAATTAGGGAGCGCAATATGAAAGCTCCAGACGCAGCATGCATGCGCTCCGCGAATCCATTGGATTAACACCGGCACCACGTGGACCCGAGCATTCCCCGCCAGCACATGGAGACTTGGGAACAAACGCTACAAAAATAAAGAGGCACATTTCTACATGAGCATGCATAGTTGACACAGTTCTCCTCCTGTCATCTTCTGTACCCTCCTCTCAAATGGGCCCCCAGCCTCGTGCCTATTGACGAATTAGGACGCAGATAACACTCCCCTCAGGAGAAACGTCCGCCAGCATGGGATGCATGGAAGAGAGGTTATGATAGATAAATAGATTTATTCGGCTTGTCATCTCTCCTGCATAGAAGCCCTGAGCGCTTCTCTGTGATGACGGAAGGCAAATGACTCTGCCACCTGGGAATGCGCTGGGTTGTCTACCCTAGTATGACTAGGTCCCGTGCTGTCCGCAAGGAAATGGAAAATTTCTCCACTGTGCAAACGACAACCTTGCATCGCGCTAGCTGCTAAACCCTGCAATGCACCATCGTCCCAAAACTAAACACGTGCATACTCTTTCAATACAGCACTCTACAGAGCTACGTAGTACTAGGGACCCCCTAAAACAATCTATTCACAATGAAATAAACTAATGAGCGTATTGCCAAAGGTTCGACTGCTTACACTAGCTACATCTACAACCACTCCAATAGTCTCATCTCAATCCTCCACTGCCGCCCTGAGGCCTCAGCAGGTACTGGGAGACGAAGGAAGGATGCAACAAAATACGCAATGAGCCGACTAGGTCCCTTAAACCTCCCCAAAGCACCTTAAACATCTCCTTAACTGTTCCCCCTGACTGCCCTGCAGCCCTGGAGCTGCTGCAGCTTGACTGCGCTGCTGAGGTTTACGCTGGGCTCTGCCTAAAGCCTAAACACCCCAGCGGCGTTGCCTCAGATGCACGCATGCTCATGGCCGCTGCATCATGCGGCAGCCTTCTTCTTCATGGCGGCTGCAACGTTTGTGAGTTCCTCACGCTTTGCCTTCCCCCTCTTGTGGGTGCCGAGGCGCTTCTTGGCGAACTTCAGAGCGCGCTTGGTGGTGGCTGCGGTGCCGATCTTGATCAGATCCAACACACGACGCTCGTAAGGGGCGAACCCTGCAACTTGGCGAATGATTTCCCTGATTGCCTGCACACGAGTTGTCTTCTTTCCCTTTCTGCGAGAAGGGCGCGCAGGCGTCTCCCGCTTGGTCACAAGGAAACCCTTGTTCAGGCCAACTGAACATATCAGCAACACAAACACACACAAAACAATACTCCCCAACCAATTTGAACAAGCAATAAAACAACAGAAAAAAAAATTTCGGAGCAGGAACCGCGTGCGAGCAACAATTACAGTGCCTGTTGGGGACAGACCATGCACTTCCAAGCAACTGAAAAGCCGAGGCAAAATTCCACCACAGCACAAAAAACCATAGCCTGATCCACCACGAAGCACTATGAGACATGTATGCAATAACAACCGGTGGTATAACAAGGACAGCCTGATCTGATTGGCCTGCCACGCATGACATGCACATGCATGGGGACCCAGATGGACCGCACGGCGAAGCAGATCCGATACCAGATGGTTGCTCTGCTTTAATAGAAACGTATGCAACTATCAAACCATTGGGATAGAAAAGAACTGGTAAATTGTTGAGCTTCCTGGTGGTGGGGTGCCGAGAGGGCGGAAACACCAGCCCTCAGCCGGACAAAGACGTACCGCGAATTCCCGTCGACACCGACATTTTCGATGGCCTTTGTGTGGGAGCAAACAGAAAGAAAGCCAGCGAACTCAAAAGAAATGCTGCAAAAGAGAGACTTCACTCCAACCTCCCGGAAGGCAGCTTACGGCCCCATACCCAAAAGGGGCTGGCCTCTGTTGCCTGGTGCACAGCCGCCAACGCCTTCTCCCCACATATCCGCTTCTGCTGTCTCTGGAAAGGAAACTCCATTCGTGAGCAACACAAGCCATGTATTTGTTTTCAGTCGACAAGTACGTAGATATTATATTGAGCTTTGGTTCTACCTGCTCTTTTTTTTTTATTTTCACGCCTACCGCGTGGCTGTGGTGCTCCGCTTGCCCCACATGCCGCTTCTTTCTACCCCGCTGCAACTCTCGTTGCTGTAGTTTTCCGTTTTTGCCTCCAGCTAATTTTGATTTGTTTCTGTTTGCTATGTAATCTTGAACATTGGGTGTTTTTTGTTGGCTCCTCGTGTTCTTACGCGTTATCTTCAAAGCGCAATCGCAACTTCGACGGAAAGTTAAGCTTGGTTAAATGCCTAGGAACGGCCAAACACGTCTCGACAGCCCATGACGCCGTAATATGTGAGCCGCTCAACACATCCTCGTTACACGGCATTTTCACCTGGGCGGTTTCTTCCGTATGGTTCATTACCTCTGTGCATCGTCTGTATTGTATCGGTCTTCAGGCCAAAGGCTGAACGCAGACGGCGCAAAGGCGTCAATCGCCACAATCCGCTTTACGAGGACGTCCTTGACGCACAGGGCATCCCCCTGCCGGGAGGCGCTATAAATGCACCCCGCAACAGGAAGATAAAGGAAGCGGTAGAAGATGCAGCAGCAGTTGAGGATGCAACTACTCGGGAGGAGGCTGGAGAAGATGGAATGCTTCCACCAAAACTAGGCAAGAAACTACTGAAGCTCGTTGAAGAGCAGCAGAAGGAGTAAGTTGTCCTCTGTTCCTTTCTGTAACCACTTATAGTCACCTGGGAGTGCGAAGTGGCAGTTGCTTCCTTCAAGGAGTGAAACTCGGCGCATTAGCTCTGTTTTTGTTGTGCAGCGAAGGTATTGGGGAGGGATCAGACGAGGATGGCAACGAATCTGGGGTGGAAGAGGAAGCAGACGAAGATGGATTCGTTGTACTGGACTGCGAGGAAGATGAGGAAGATGTGGCGTTTTACAAACAAAGAGCGGGGGAGATCCCTCGTGGAACAATCAACTTGGCGGATCTTGTAATGGAACAGCTGCGGAAGCAATCAGAGAACGCTGCCGGGAAAGAAGCAAACGAGGAGCCAGAGTCTAACTTGTCGCCCAAAGTCATTGAAGTTTACACGGCAATGGCACCGTTTCTTGCGCGTTACAGAAGCGGGAGAGTACCGAAGGCCTTCAAAATCATACCGAGGCTGCATGCATGGGAGGAGGTGCTTGTACTAACCAACCCACCAATGTGGTCGAAGCAAGCGACAAGAGAAGCCACCCGTATTTTCTGCAGCAATCTCCGTGAAGCCATGGCCCAGAGATTTTTATGCACCGTTTTGTTGCCAGCAGTCAGGGATGACATTGCGGAAAACAAGAAGCTTAATTGCCACCTTTATATGGCCCTAAAGAAGGCTCTCTTCAAGCCTGGTGCTTTCTTCAAGGGCATTTACCTCCCGTTGGCGATGAATGTAAGGAATACTTCAGCAGAGCTCCAGACACCGCAAACGGAACGTCAGGGCACCAGTCATGGTGTGGAGTGCTGACTGTCTCTCTCCTTGCCTGCGTCTTTTTGCAGGGGTGCACGATCAGAGAGGCAATAATTGTGGGGAGCGTGGTAGCGAAGGTCTCTATACCCGTTCTGCACGGTGCAGCTGCGCTGTGTAGGTTGGCTGCCGTGCTTCCGGCTCAGTGGATCCCTTCTGTCAGCCACATGATGACGGTGTTGATTGACAAGAAGTATTCCCTGCCTATTCAGGTTCGTGTACCAATGAAGCTCTGGGCTTGGCTGTAACTGTACACGCCTGCAAGGAACACTCGGTCGCGGCGTCTGTCGGTTGCTGCAGATCTTTTTTCACCTTGCAACAACGAACTGCAGCGTTTATCTGTAGCCTTTGTCGCAGTGTATACGCAAGGCTGCTTATTCCCGCTGTTACATCCAGCCAACCTAATGAACTCGAATGTTGGTGCGTTTTGTGTGCGATTTTCCTGCAGGCAGTTGATGAATGCGTCAACCACTTTCACCGGTTTCTGTCGAGCGAAGTGAAGGTTACGGTGGCGTGGCACAAGTGCCTATTGGTTTTAGTACAGCGGTACAAAGGTAGGTGTGGTTTTCAGGTCTCGACAGAGAACGCCAGCGTATGCACAACACCGACGAATGTGAAAACCACAAGACCATTCGGTCTGTTGGTGTGCTGTTTCCGCAGTTAACCTGTCAGCGTCTCATAGAGCGAAGCTGAAGGAGGTTCTCAAGGTCTATTTTCACCCCAAGGTTGGACCTGAAATTCGTAGGGAATTAGCGGCCCAGCAACCCGCACTATTATTAGAGCAGCAGCAGCGTGCACTGCTCGCACTTGCTGAGGAACAGAAGCAAGTGGAAGAGATACAAGTTGATTCGTAAACCTTTTTTTCAGAGACTTGAACGCTTTAAAGATTTTTGTTCTGTTATGTGCAGTAGGGAACGAGCTGGGTGAAGGGTTTACGCGTGTTTCGCTTTGGTGCTTGTTACTTACACTTCGTATGCTTCGTGATGATTGACAATCTCTGACAGGCGGAAATTTCTGTCGACGATTTTGTCGCCCCAGGCTGATAAGCATTACAATTGGTGCATTGTAGTGTATGTAAATCTGTTTATTGCGTGTTGATGATCGACAATCTCTGACAGGCGGAAATTACTCTGTCGACAATTTTGTCGCCCCAGGCTGATGCGCATAGCTGGTTTTAGCATGTAGGCGAGTTGTGTATGGCATAGGTTGACCATTCATTCATTAGACGTGTGTGAGTCTTCTTTGTGCGAACATTTTTTGGTATACGATACTGTCATGCAAGAAACTCAGTCCGTGTGCCTGGTACATGTGGTGCATCGACCCTTTCATCTTGCTACACTGCCATATGCAGCATATTCGCGGCTGCCACGTGTGCCTCATGAGCTCCTATACATGGCCGTCGATACGTGCTGCAACAATTCAGATGATTGCAAACAACGCCATAAGGATGACTCCACAACGCTTGGCTTCCGAAGGCATTACTTGTGGAAACCAGTTCAAACCAGTTATCCCTGTCTGATGGCGTTGCATATTACGGTATCTTTGGCGCACCGTTTAATAGCAGTTTATCAGCGTCTCTCGGAGCTGCTGTACTCCAGTTGCGTTAAACTAGCTGCTAATAATTGAAACGCGGGGTTGATACGATTTTCCCTGCGGCAAGGCGGACATGGTCGTTTGTCGCTTATGTCTCTTGCCCTAAAGCTGCATGGATGTCTGCTGAGAGCACGTAGTTTGTGGTTTTGCACGCTGCCTGTGATGGAGTTCCTACTTCTATACGGATTGTTTGTGACGATCCAAACTTTAATCACCATCTTTCGACTGAGGGCGAACATCAGCATATAAGCTATGCATATCTGTGTCAGAGGCTTTTGATTATGTGCAGTTGACGTACTGCCATGTGCTAGCCTTTCCCAAGTCGTGAATCGTCTTGTCAATCCTAGTGCATGGAATATACAAGACTGCTATAAAGTTGTATGATAAGCTCCATCTCGCTATTCTCACTTTGCAATAGAGTGCAAGCAAGAGAACGCATGGTGGGGTGCAAGCTTAGGTCAGTGCACGAGTGGC